TATATATATATATATATATATATATATATATATATATATATATATATATACATATATATATCAATGTTGTATCGAAATGTCGCATTTCTGAATCTAGGCATACGTACTGCTGAAAGTATTTAACCGTATAAATTAGGATGATTTTGTGTTTGTATGTATATTGTATCTCACGTTTTTGTCTAGATAAATGTCATGGTGTGCTTATCCTGAGTGATCGTTTAAGTTGCATGATGCAACCAGTCCGCAGTCGAAAGTGTATAAGGGTTTCATTGCCAGTGATTTAAAATTTTGTGTTTTAGTGAACTGGGGTCTGCTTCACTAACATATATCGCAACTCACTTTGAATACCTTAAGGGTTCTTGGCCGATGATGTGGTCTGAAGATACAGCGCACAAGAATACGCGACAACAAGATAGGCACAGCAGCTCGCAACTTCAAGAAGGGCCGACAAAGTACAGAGTATGTAGTGGCGTATGTCATGCTTTCAGGAATGTCATTAATGGACAGTACATGATTCATTGTATGTGGCGGTTGATGTGGTACGGAGGTGGCCTGTGATCATTTCTGCCATCGTCGTGTTTGAGGATGACGAGCGTGCCAATGAATGTGTGGCTGAGCTCAACTTACTGCTGCGCAGACAATTGTGTTACCGATACGGTTGGTTGCTATTTTCCAAGACTTCACCATATCCAAGTGACGTTAATTTGTTTTTTTTTGCGTAAGATGTATAGTAAACGAGGGTAAAATTGAAGCACTAGTTGACAGAACCCACTAAAAGCAATGGAATGTTTCTTTAAATGACCAATACACCCAGTAATCTGTACATTTTGGTGCCATCTGTTCCAGCATTCGACGCAAGTTACATGAAAATCATCCAGATTTTATGCGTGAAAGCAGCTTGACATCTTGTATGCCTGGTTTTGTATTTGTATGCCTCATAATGCACAGGTTGCACATTCATAATCTGAAGTATTGGTAATTTTATGATTAGTATACATGCGTTGTCTACATGCTTTAGAACGAGTAATAGACGAATTCATGTTTAATAATTAAGCAAGGAGGGCCTGTTTTGAACCTGTCGAAGTCAATCTGCACTTGGTCACGTTCGTATAGAATCTATACGCTGTATGTGTATTTGTGTTCGTTCGCATCATTTACATATGCATGCTGAGTATTCTGATGTAAATCTATGCGTCTGTGCGTTCATGATGTTTTTAGAGTAATTGTATACACATGTGTTGCGTCTGTATTAATCAAAATGAAATCCGCATTAATCATTCCATTATTGGGTGCGTGGCCCCTCGTTCCAAGCGACTATTTCGGACGTAAGCCTGTATCGAATAGCACTCAATTATAATTAGAAACACGAAAACAAATTTTGAGTTCGATCGCGTGTATAGCTTATCGATGGTATGTCCATCTCTGATGGGATCATTACAGAGCTTGGGAAGTAAGCTAGGTCGAAGGAACACGGCGTTCTACAAGAGCAATGTGGCTTCCGGAAGAGTAAGCGCTAAAGACGACGACACGCCGCTGCAGGTACTTTTTTGTTTTTGTAGTCAGGTGCGCACCTATGAGATTGATCGTATTGGAGAACGCACTTCATCGTATCCGGATAAATGTACATGTATTCCCCGAACCGTGGTTGGGCTTGGCTGTGAATGGATGGTCGAGTGTACATCGAGTGTCGCTTGAATTTTGGATCATTGTCTTGCCCCCATTGGACCTCACACAAATATGCATAGAATGACTACAACTGGACAGGTTTTGTTGCTCCGCTGTTTTGACATGCGCATGAATGAAGCTCTCGTATGTCGAAAGCATCCGCTTGGCAGAGTCAGCCATATGCTCTCAAACACGCGCGCACGTTTATTATATCACGCTCGCCCTCTCACACCTCCTTCTGCAATGACATATGCTGGTGCTATCGCGCATGCACATATACTCATTCATACGCACAGGTATACTCTCATTGCACTCACACATGGGTCCTGTGTGGCGTGCTGCAATGTGGTCGACGAGGAGTGAAAATTTCAAATCTTTGTGTCGAAAGATTTGTGGTTGTGGGTCTCAGAAAGAAACACACACACTGACACATGAGATGTCGCTCGTTCTCACAGTACAATTACACGCACAATTGTTGTCACCCCCCGTGCCAAACTCGGAAAATATCTCGAACGTAAATGACCCGCCTTCTCAATCTCAGCTACATACGCATTCGAATGCAGGTGCTTCTGCTCCGCTGTGTGAGACGAGCGAACGAGCTGCATCTGCCCGATGTTGAGGGCGTGCAATTGCTAAACTCAGCCATGCACATGGTACGCTCTGGTAGGCCTGGCCGGGAAGTAGATGCGCTTCTGTCCCGCACCCGAGAATTAAGAACCGGGCTGCCATTTCAGGAGCTGGATGTATGTATTTTGCTGGTTAAACTTGTATCTATGTATCAGGGACTAATATGATGTATGCTGTATATATATTCATATATTTTGCATATATATATATATATATATATATATATATATATATATAGTATATATAGTANATATATATATAGTATACTTACGTACTAACGTACTTAAACTAACTA